TTTGTCAAATTCTTGGCAGCTTGTGGATACCTTGGGAGTTTAATTGCTTTCAAGGTACGTTGAGGGGTCTGAGCAAAGTAAATCCAACAAACCACCAGTTTTACGGGCTGGATAATTGATTAGACATTACTTAACTTAAATTCAATGTAATTCCTATTCCAATTAATTACCATTGGTTGTGTTTAGTATTTTAAAGAAGATGCCCGTCTTAAATCCCAATCACCTTATGATGTTGACTTCGAAGTGGGCTAATTTAAGCGTGGCAACAAGTCACGTTTTTAACCACCAAATTTCAAGGAAGAGGCTAAGAGTTAGCAAATTATCTTAATCTACGTAAACCCAAATCATGCACAAGGAAAATACACAAAGATCAGCTGTCTTTCTAATTTCACAATAATAGTTTCGAGTTCAAGTAGGATACTTAAATGTATTCTGTTTTGCGCACTATTGAAAGGTAGACGATACTTTTACAAGCACACATCCCTTCGGTTGTCAAGTCTTCTTTCTTTCCAATTATTTTTAGTGGGAGCATAATCTGAACTGTTTTGACAAACTTTACATCCTTCTTGACAAACAATCAGTACAAGTGCAATTTTAAAAAATCTTTTCATGTCAAATAATAGGCAAATTACCTCCTGGCCCTACCCCCTTCTTTTTATTGTTTTGAAAACAGCAGAGGAGTTGCTGGAACAATAAACAGGGTAGATGCTGGAGTTGTATCTGGACTGCGCGCGCGTGTGTGTGTACTGCATGTGCGCAATCATGTCACATTCGCCAGCACTGTCCATTGTACTTGTTGATGTCTCCTCAGGATGTCAGATCGAAGGGGGGCGAACAGATGTCGGGTGCTTCTTTCAGCCCATTCACAATGGAAAGTATTATATTTTGGGGAAAACTTGCTACATGGCTCAAGTTGTCACTGCCACCACGGCATCAAACAATACCCTGGTGAGGATACTTCCCCACCCATTCACCGGTAGTTTCATCATTAGACTGTCATTTAGGGATTCATTACATGTTTGTAGGTCAGATGTTTTAATAAAAGTTTGTTAGATGGGTGAATACCGAAATTCGGTAACACTAAACATGGTCATAGCGACAGTGATGTACGTTTGGAAGGAATTGAGGAAGGAGAATTAGGCTACGTGGGTGATCGTCAACAGCACGTGTGCGCATACCATGGGAGCAAAATGGTCAAACCTTGATCAGAAAAATGCAACAGGTTTGAATACTTGCTATTTTTGCATTCACACTGGCTGGCGGTTAAGGTTAGCTGCTGGAGCTAGACTTAACTTCGCGCCTCACGAAAGAAGTCGAGGACTCCTGAAGTCATCGAAGTTCTATGCATTCACTGGCGAATGCTATGAAACCGAACAAAGCCAAGTTCTTAAATGTAAATAACGAAAGGGTCGACATGTTTTTAACATTTACCATGTTATTGATAATTTATCAGCTGTTTCACTTCTGATTCTCATTGAACGCCACTTACAATTTGCCCACTATACAGGTGAAACCCACGTGACTCCACCATATTAAGCAATTACTCCGTATAGTATTTTTTACGTTTCCTTTTCAATACTTACTACCATACAGTTTGTTGTTTAGAATAATACGCATTCCTAGGTAAGCGTTTCGTACCACCCTTTATTCATTTCGGATTCGACGAGTGTAATCAGCTGTGGTCTCGATGTTCGGTAGACGATTTGTATTTACGATGTTCTGCTAAAATATGTTGGCCTTTTTTGACCATTAATTATCGAGAATCTATTTTCAACGATTGGTAGTGCATTTTCTTCTGCAGATTAAGCAAATGCTTTACACCCCGCCCTAAAGCATTCTAGCTGTGTTTATTCATCTAGAACCTGCGCTAAAATTAACACTGAAAATAAATACTGCAGACTCAGGAATGACTTAAACGCGCAGCAGAGGGTATATGCCTCTACATAGGGCAATTATGTCACGGTGACGCATAAACCGATTATGGGTGGAAAAAACAGTTGAGCAGCGAGATTCTATGAATGCATGTAATCTATTCGTGATTTACACAATTCAGGCAAGGCAAGTGACGGGATCATAAAATCAGAGAAACAAGATTTCTTGTTTCCTAGTACTTTTGAAACCCCATCGACCCAAAAATGTGGAATCATTTAAGTAGAACACGTGCGTATGTAGCCCAATCAATTTCAATTGTTACATTACTTGCTCGATTTCAAAATTTATATGTGTCAAAGTTAATGGGTTTTCACTAGGACCAAGGTTTCACCACGTATGACTTATTGTTGCTTTAAGCAATGAATAACTATATACCTTCCTGACTCCACAAAATCTTCTCAGTGGTTGAATTTCTGTTTCTATGATAACAATGGCAACGATGCCAAGGCATGGTATTAATTGAGTAGACAAATATATTAGGTACTTAGATTGTTAAAAATTGTCAAATGCAAAAAAATGAATCGGTGATTTAAAAAAACCGAAACGGACGAACATCGACTTGGGTTAGTTTTGTAGTTTAACGTATGTTAGTGAAGAGGAAGTTTGCCAAATGTTAGTTTATGATTTTAAAAGCGTTTAAAGCATATCCTTTTTAGTATTTTCTGGAATATTTAAGTTTGGTTCTGATATTAATCATGATACCTGTGTAAGAATTTGTTAATTATTATCTTCCAAGTAATATTTAGGTCATTCGATCAATAATTTAGTTCTAACTTCTCGAAAAGATTAGAGACTTTAAAGGAAAACTCCATTACTTTTTTAATCTTGTAAGACTTTAGGCTATTTCTGCTAATCTAAAAAAAGTTATTATAAATTAATTGAAGGTAATTGAACATGTTAAATATGTATTCAAACAAATTTCGATTTTTTAATCAAATAAAAGGAAAACCTACTGCTTTAAATGCAACATATGTCTAACCACAGTTTTAAACTTTCAACTCTTGAGCTAAATTTTATTGAGCATTTTTGCAAACGTAAGCGGTATCCAAAACCAAACCCAGAACGAGTAACCACTTTTTTAGCAGCCTTTAACCTAAAAAGAGGCTAGAGGTAATAAGACAAGATAAACTACATATGTTCAAATTGACACATTCATATACATATTTGCCACTTCTAAGGATATCAAAAGCGCTGAAGATTGAAGCATAACATTTTGGGGCCCCCAGACGCAATTAAAATTTCGCAGGGTTAATTGTCGATTGACAGGCTGGCGAACCAAAAGTAGTGCTTCTGGATGTAAGCTTCTTATACTGTCTAGGGCCTCTGGGAGTCAGAATTCACTCCAGCATTCAAAATATCTCGGTACCCACTGCAGTGCACATGAAAATCAAAATTAATTTGCAGCTATCATTTGGTCTCTGCGTAACACTTACACTCAGGTTTATAAATAGCTGGCAATTTGCTTCCCAAAAAAATTTGCCATGTCATATGCATCTTTTTTTACTAACCTTTGTGTGCCCCTAACATCTGCCACATATTAATCACTGCTTCGAGATATGTTGTCTTCATAAAGGGATTAAGATTCATTGGATTCAAATTACTCTAGACCACTAGACTAGCGATTTTTAATTACCAGCTTTTGGTTTTATTAGGAAATGAAGACTAAACAGTGTGGTCAACTTAATGAAGAGGTTTTATAGCTATTCAAGTGCAATTATAGTTTGACTGCATCCCAAGCACGATTGCTAAATTCCAAAGGGGATTTTTATCGAACATATTTGTCCATGTTTGCGTTCAGATAAACTGCGCTACATTCATTTGATCTTCTTAATTTCATTTTCAGAAATTTCATATATTTCCGGCATTTACGTGACAAAAATTACGCAAACATTCCAGTCATAATTTAACAACTACGGCGCAACAACCGTCTTAACTTATGTGTAACAACAAATTATTTAATACTTGCAACACATCAAAGGTTTTCGAAAAAGTGACGTTATTCTCGAGCTAAAAATTTGTGGGCAGAATTAAAGATGTACATCAAATTCAACTTCTATCATAAAATATGCAACTTATGGAGTATAAAACGAGCTACTGCTACTTACTGCAATGGTTTTATTAACACGACTGAAAAGTGACAGTAAGTAAACGTGGTTGGAAAATTGTCTAAATATAGAAATTAATTGAACATTCCAACTAGCTATATATTGTTTAAGTGTTTACCGAAGCCTAAGCGTTAGCTATCGCGGGCTCCCTAAGATTTGTCTTGAGGTTGTTAGCATTGTTCAGGTTACGCGTGGTCGCTTTAGGCAAAGGCAATTACTTTTTAGCGTATGTTATGTAATATCGAATGCGGTCGATCACTGCCTTTCAGAAAATTTTTCTTAGCTATATTTAATGTAACTGAACATGCTTTATCACTTCTACTTGTCACTTTTCAATCGGAAATATTACTAAATGCTGAAGCCTATTTGGTTGAATTGTCAGTTGATTTCAATTAATCAAATTTCGTCGATGACTGTGGCTCTGGGTGATCAGTTGAGGCATCTTTTGTGTTCATTTTTAAGGCTTCACGTTGTTGCTTTTACATTCATGGAGTCTTGACACGTATTTGATCACAAATTCAATGTTGGTTTTAAGAAATAGCCTTCGTTTGTCACACCCCAACAATAAACTTAACTTACACTGTGTTCATTGATTTGGATGCCACCTCCTCCGTTTTAAATCAATCAACACAACTTCTGGATTCGATTGCGTTGTGAAATGTATGCATTTTAGTGTATGGTTTGGGTGGTTCCACTTTAAAATATTGTCCCTTGTGCAAAATTACTGAATATCTCATAAGCTGTTTTCCCGCGTAACCGTAAGTTTTCTCCTGGTCGCATTTAGATTTTCTGCGAACAAAGTGCGGCCTTAGTTCCTTTACCTTGTAGTTAGTGACCGTAAGAATAGTTGAACTGTTATGTAACGATTAAATAATTTTGTTGCTAAACTTGGACGGATTTGTGGCAATGTTGATTTGTTATCAGGCGTGTACTCATTTTGATTTTTTTTAGGATTGAAGCATAATGCCTAGAACCAGACGCGCGAGCATCGTACCACGCACCCCTGGGGGCATGCACTTACAGTTGGCTGATATATCTGCTGATACAATTGATTTTGACGACGAGGTATCAATAAAGTCTTCTGTGTTTCGCGGGCGGACCGAAACGCCCTCATCGACCGCAACAACGCCAAAAATGTCAGTCCTGAAAAAGTCGTCACTTAATCTTCAAAAGTAAACAAATGTTGTCGTCGTCAAATTAATATTAGATTTGTTTTGCGAAAATCCACTGATTTAAAGAAGCTCAAGAACATTAACGATAAGATTGAGGCCATACTATCAAGTCCCATGGTAGAGGTTCGTCGTAAACCCCTGGGTCGATCCAGGTCCTTTGCCTCAAATGACGGCAAGTTTTGTAGTTATTACTGATCAAGCTTTCTCCCTATAGTAGACCAGTCGCGCACTCCAATTTGTGTGCCGAGCTCAAAAGATTTGGTGGCAGTTAGCAATCGTCGTCTATCTGCTGTTTTATTATCAAAGTTCACTCCACATGCTGACTCCATCTCTCCATTGGATTCGAAACGCGCCTCCATATGCCCTGGTGTGCTTAGTCGTCGCAGGACAAATTCAAAAAACACTAGAACACCCATCCGTTGCTCATTGGGCACAGAGTACGTCGTACATATCTATTAGTCCAAAAGCCTCTTTATACATCTGTATTCTTATTCAAGAAAAAGGTAGCTCGATTAGTTCGCCTTGTAAGGCTGCCCATCACGATTCATTTTACTGTTGGTGTGTTATTTGTACTTAAGAATTGACTACATGTTCGTGTTTCATTCCTTTGATCCTCTTTAAAAATTAGCATTGATTTATTATAATTGAAAAACGGAAAATCAGTTTTTGCAAACTGTTTAAGTTCGACTGTGTACTTAGCATTCGGTGGTCTTGGTACATCGCTCATGTTATATTTAGGCTGACTTCAACAAAGGATAAAAATACCCCTATAATTACAACCGCAAATGACTCCCAGACTTTGGGGGTCGAACCCATGAATTCGGAGGATGTTGCCGACCTGGAAAATGAATCACCACAACGGCCGTTCGAAGACGTCGAACATGAACTAGAAGTACAGCATTCTCAGGAAAACGTTTCTGCTGAACCAACATCGGTTAGCGAATTCCGTGTCCTTGCCGGTATGGAATCATCTCGTCTGTCTTCTGTTAAAGCAGCTTGGGAAGATGTCTTGACTGAAGAAAGCGGATCTATCCCTGACATTGGTACGTTTTCTGTCTTCGTTATCGCTGAGGCACCAAGTAGTTAACGTAATTTTATCGAATTTTAGCTGTTAACAGCATCCACGCGGCCGTTGGTAAATGTGGATTGCTGCTCACCAAGAAGTTTCCCTTTTTCTTATCTCTAATCGATCTGGCCGAAGCCTCTATCCAACAGCGGCAGCTAGGAAACGACAAGCCTCAGCAGAGCGCCAGCGTGAATGACTTGCTAGGGATGTGGGCGATTATATCCCAACAGATATCCGAAATCGACAGTGCTTTTGATCGATTGCGCAGGTGGCGAGAAGTCTCTGGCTGGGCCTTAGAGGCACGTCCTGAAACACCTGCTCGGTATGACGAAAAAGCCGTTACCACTGCAGAAAAGAAACAAGTTGGTCGTCCCCGTCAGCGTAAACCCATGGAAACGGTCGAAGTCGATGCTGTTACACCGACGGTTTCATCAAAGCTGAAGTCTGCGCGTGCTCGAAAACCGCTTAAGGTTCGTAGTTTTATCATTGCAAAAGCCCATTTTGGACGTTGCTGTGACGTTTTGCATTGGATCCGATGTGGTTGATTTATTTTTCTATACGTTTAACTACAATTTGGGTTTCTCGTTGCCAACTTTTTTCGAATTTATTTAGCTTCTATTAATGCAATTATTCAATATTTGCAAAGCAGTTTAGTCTTTGTTTCATGCCAAGGTGAGTTAACTTGAGTAATTTGCATTTTCCAAGAGATTACTCGGATCAACTAAGAAATCTGGACCTTCAAAGTCGTGTGCATCGAAACCGTCACAGCGTTCTAAGTTCTTGCAGTTCCGGGCTCAACTACTGGCCAAGAAGAAGGCTATGGAAACCGACGAGGTCACAGACGAACCGTTCAAAACGCCGCTCTTTGATCCCGACTCTAGTGGTAAGTAGTTCAACACTCGGTTGTCTTAACTAGAACTCATTACTGCAAAGTTTGTCAATGGTTTTATAGTCTTTGTCGAATTCGTCCTGGGTTGTCAGTCGTTAGAAGCACCTTGTCCAAGTTTGCATTTAATGCATTTTGACCCGGACCGATTGCTTTGTCATTGAGGTCGCCCTACTGTGCGTTAAGCGTTCACGAATCACATAAATCTACCTTGTCGCTAGTTTCAATATTAAAGTTGGAATGTCAGGGGACTAAAAATCATCCATAAAGGTGCATTTGCGGAGAAGTGAGATTAACAGGAACACGGTCTTTGTATAAACACCACAACAGGCAACTTCCATTTCTGTTCGTAAAATAATGGCTCCGTTGCCACTTGTGTTGTGCTTTTTTAGTACTGTCGCGCTCCGAGAAGCGCTCAAAAATCACCAGCACCCCGATGAACAATGTCACACCGCGACGAGGAAGGTCGTCGAAAACACCGCTGTCGCCTAAGATTGCCGACGAGAATCTTGTTCCTGTCCCCGAAACTCCTATCACGTTAGTTCATTGTTTGTCAAAATTATGTCCTCACTCGCCCTGCAAATACCCAGTGTAAAGTTAATTTATGATTTGACCATTTTCCCTGTAATAACTTCGCGAGTATTAATTCTCCGTACTTCAATGAATCAGCATTCTGTAATGAAAAAAAAACTCGAAAAATCGTCACCCGAGTTTGAACCCCTTGCCATCGTCGCTTCACATTTCCATGCATTTTATGTACCGAGTCATAGGTCTGTGCTATCGTAAGTCCTGCTTTGCAGCATCATTAACTCCGTTTTACCGTAAATGCATATCTGAAAGACTCATCCGTAAATTCCTAGGGCTTCCGTCAATGTGAGTGCGGAGACGGGAGGCGCAGGCGACCCGTTCGCCGTGCCCGCCTCGCGACCACGGAGGCGCACTCGCAGGCGAACAGCCGGCCTGTCGGCCTCGCAGGCCGCCGCCGTCACGCCAGACCCCTTCTCGCCGCCGCCTCGGCCGGCCACGGGCACGCCGCGTCCACGCTTGTCCCGCGACCTCTTGACCACCGCCAACCTCTCTCTGAGGCAGTCCGTTTTGATGAAGAAACTCATGGTGACGGTCACCAGCGGCAACAGCAGCTTCGGGGCCACACCTCCTAGGGCTGTCGGCAGGAAACGCAAATCCGTTCGTTTCCCGGCCGCCGCTGCACTCTCCTCAACTCCCAACGGACATCGCGGTGGGTCGGGCAGTCCCAGGGAGTCGCTCCCCGTGACCCCACACACATCAGTCACTGTTGGTAAGTGTTCTCACACATCACTCTCCCCTATCTGTGTGAAAATTGATATTTAGTCAAAAACTTGGCTATTGACGTTTCGTTAAAATACTTTCACAGGTCAAAACCTCCGCCTATAGTCCTGTACACTTCGAAAATTTCGGTATTTTAAAACGAAAGCAGTCCACTTACTGGGGCTGTAAGTTGTCTGACTTCCACCACCCTCTACTTAGTCTTGGCGGTGTGAGTTTTGAGAAATTGGAGGTGGCTCAAATTGTAATTAAGTTACTTTATGCGGTAATATTGGTCGTTTCCACATCACAATCCTATCACATCTGGTCATAGCGGGTGGGCTTGTTATTTGTTTGCAATGTTTTCTGCTTCACATATGGCAATTTTAACCCAAACCCCATCACCGCACTTAAACTTCAGTTTGTTTTCAAAGCGGTTCCATGTACTCGTACTGAAATTCCTCTGAAATAGAAGATTAGAAATCGGAGTGAACCTGGACGTTACTTTGTACTACGTTTCTGGTCAAGTGACCTCTCATTTCATTCGCTTCATTTTATCCTGATTTGCTACTGTCTGGTATTCAGTAGGGTGTATTGTTAATGCTCATTCACCACTTGCGCACAACACCATATTTTCCATCGATCGTTATTGTGTGAAATGGCAGTGTTTTAACACCTGCACCGAAAAGCATGTTGGAAACTGACCTCTCGTGTGTTCCAAGTCTTGCGCATTACTTAACCCTCTCCAAAGCATTCATGTCATTTCTCGGCCCTGAACTGGTGGTGAATTTTCTCCTTTTCCGTGCCCAGGCTGCCCCTCCTCGTCGGCCCCCTTTGACTTTTTCTAATTAAGTTTGTGATACATTTTGCCTCATTGCCTTGCGTCCACATCTTTTACTTCTATCATTGTCTTTTGCAGACCCGTCTAGGCGCATCTCCCGCAGTGGCAGATCTCGGCACGCCTCTTTCGGCAACTCGAGGTCTTCGGAGGCTCCCGCCTGATGGTTGTCGCTGATTGGATTTTCTTCTTATTATTTATGTGCGTTGTACTATCACTCGTTGCATTTTTCATCCTTCATACGCAACAAACAACTAGTTTTGGGTATTACAAGTTGGTATTTTTAGTCGAAGTCTGTCTTGCTAAAATTTGACACACTTATCTATCCTCACAATTTTGCTGTTGTGTCGTTACCTAAAAGCAATTCAACAAAATCTTCGATATTTTCATCATGTGTTTTAATCTCGGGGGCGTATTTTGTCTAGTAATTTAACTTTGTGAGCATTTATACGGTGCACGATTTTAATTGGCGGGTTCTTTTTATTAAAGCTAAGGGGTCAACTCATCACCACTGAGTGACCTGGAGCAGGGTCGTCCTCGTCTCGTTTGTGCGGCTTGTTGTGAAAACAGGATCACCTTAGGACACAACCTCGACCTATTATTCTGCTAAATGAATTATTAGGAAATGCAATCTAGTGATTGCATGGCAAACGAACGCTTCGAATGGCACGAAAGGTTTGATAAAACGGCCAGCAATAATCGTGTCTTAAAGGAACTCCACACATCCAGTGTCCGCTTTTTTCTTTCCGGTCATAACGTAGGGCCCTTTGCTTCTATTTTCCGCGACATTTCTCCTTTCGCAAAAGCGTAGGGGTTCATTGTGAGTTTTTTGTTCGGCTCCTAAAACAATGGAATTCAAAGCAAATGAAGGGTTTTAATATGACGTGACACTAGTGACAAAAGGATTACTGCCTATTTCAGCGTTACAACACATGCCATTAACTATACAGCCAACCAATCGAATTCTAGGCACTTACACTGACGCGAGCCAAGTGCACGGCCATTGGCCCAGCCAAAGTTTGCGTAAGGCTGCACGCCATGCATTTACCAGGTTTACTCGCTTTAGTTTCGTTCTGCGTATGTGGGCGCACTGAGAGTTTGTGAAAGTTTGTAGTCACTTTTGAGGGTCTGTGTTGGATGTACCATGACGCGTGGTAGTTTTAATTGTGCTATTGATAATTTATTGGTATCGCCGCTATGGCCATGCCTAGTTGGTGCGTCGACGCGCTGCTACCATCCACAAGTAAGTAGATGCTTTATTGTCGATAGAACACGACATTGGAATGCCTTCGCTATGAAATTTGCTTGCATGACGTGAGTTTTGAAGCAAGCCTTTCAGCCAGGTTGCCAACAATCGATAATGTCTTAATTGTCGCTAATTGCTCTACGGGGTTGACTAGGTGAGTGAATTCGCGAAGAAAAAGTCAAAATTGTTGAATTGCCATCTACGCAATGGAGTTTTGTTCAATTCCAAGGCAGCTAGTGTCAAATTCTGCCTTGTCAACAGGCTGTTACATCGAAAGTGATGTGAGTTAAGTTGGAGGCCAAATTATCAGACGAGAATAGCCTTGCCGCAACCTCTATTCTCATGTCTTGTTACAATCCGACATCTTGGTGCCTTGGCACAGACTTAAAAAGCATGATACGAAATTACTCCTATCTGGCATTTAAAAGTGTTTGACACCCCTGCTGCATGGAAAAGTGTTTGGGTGTTCTTCGAACAGAATTTGCAAAGAATGAAAAGCGCCAGAGGCAAGTGGAGGCTGGGCTGCTTCGAAATGAGTGCAGATTCGCATCGCTTGAGGTGCTGTCGAAGCCTCGGGCACAGAATCCCAAAGTAGAATATGGGTCTTGCCATTTACGCCTTTACTTTTTATGGCAACTGTTGCGGTATTCGTACGTACAGATTCTGTCACTTCTGAAAATCTTTGAAAGGCCACCTACATGAGAAATCAAAACAGACCTTATTTGTAAATGAAAACTACTACCCATTATAACTGGTGAACGCAAATGATTTGCCATTTTGAAGCACAGTTAATCAAAAAATAACAAGTTGAGCTAACATTGATCCATGAGCTTGTCCTGCTTTGAGAACAAGTCGCATGCGATCAGCGCCTTCTCATTAACTTTGCAAAATATCCTGTGTTACAAAAACACAATTGCACGTGTAGTAATCAGACTGTGCGGCTTGTCTTGACTCCTCCGGCCTATCTACTTCCTGGACGTTTTAGTCATGGGACGGAAATGAGGCGTCCCTATCGTCAAACAGGTGATCTAGTGGGGTACCTTGTTCGTTTTTCGACTTAAATCCCTTTTTTTTGAACCTCTGCTCATCTCGTCACCTTACGATCGTACTGCCTCGATGTGCTGTAAGAGCAAGTCTATTCCACGTTCTTCTGTAGGCTTAATCGGAGAGTCTCTAACAGTTATCACATATCGCCACAAATGGTTTGCGACCTCACAACAGACACGAACATTGGTGCGGTGTTTGTATGCGCCCTCCCGAAACCACATGCTTCACTGCCCCGCATCCTACCGCCCACACTACGTTGCCTTCCTTTTACACTCGCTTGCTTAAACGATCTACAATTCTGATCAGCAATGAACAAGCGCTTCAACAACTTGTGATAGGTGTTTCCTGGGTCGTTAGGGCTTTTAGGGAAGATAACTTCAAGGTTTATGCTTATTAGTGCTGACCGTTATGTCCCTCGCTTCCATTCGTGCCTTATTCATTTAGCAATGTGTTAAACCTTTATGTACTCAAGTGTCGTTCATCTATCCCATAATTCTGTCCGGTAGTTGGGGTTTACTGGGTATCATATTCGGCTAATTGTTGTGGTCCTTTCGTGGTGCAGTGATTTCACTTGACATCCGGGACTGTTTTTAACTACAGAAGAGTAGGTTGCCCTCAACTTTCCATGAATTCACGGGTTGTTGAGATAGTACGGGGTCGGAAATCGGGGAACCTTAACTAACGTAACACTTATGCATCACTGACAGCAAATTACCTGGAACCATCAAATTCATCGGGGCTACAGGCCGGTTGCTGTCCAGACAACTGATTAGCAGGTACTTTGATACTACAGAGGAATATTGTGATTTGACCACAGTAGTGAATGAATTATACCAATATTTCTAGGCAGCAGCACTGCAGCTCATCTATTCACTCTAAGAGCGGATGGTTTACCTACGATTTCGGTCATTTACTGTTGCCAAACGAACTACAATGGGGTTCATGTTATTAACGAACATGTCTAGTGCCATTTTCCTAAAATGCAATGTATCTTAACAAGTGTCGTCTTTTGGTACTCAAGGATTGTTGCATAAGGAAATCGTGTTTTCGTCTGAATGGTGTCAGGCCAAATTTAGGTTGGTCGCAGTGCTTTTCAAATGCTTCAAATCCATCTTCCCTGTTCGGTCAAGCTCACACAAGGGTGGACCAGATTCACTGAAAGGTAGCTATTTATGATTTGTATATTGCAAGGAGCAAAATATTATCTGTAACTAGAATGCTCATTCAACAATGGAGCATGCAAAAAATTCTAATCTCTGGCACGTGCTGATGATCCAGGCTTAGCACGAATTCGTGCCGAATCGGTGTACGTGTCTTTCGGCGCGGTCGCGGTATTTGAAATCCGCCGAGGTCATTTAATTTTCAGCAATTTAACTGCAACCAGATCCGTCGAAAATACCTCAGAAGTGGCGTCTTAATAAAAAAAATTAAAATTTCGGGTTACACACCCACAGAATAAGTTCGCTGATTGATAATTAAAACTCCCAGTAATCAGCGATGTCCATACATTACAATTTGCCAATACTTAATAATCGTAGTATAGGTACTTTCAAATAACCGGGTGATATTAATCCATTTTTTCCATTCATCGTAAAACGGCCTTCTAAACGAGAAAAACTTCAGTTATCACAACAGTGAGTGTCTTTTGAAGACCAATAATTCACAAATTTAGACCAGACAAATTATACAATTCTTTTATTGAAATGGCATAAATTCCTTGAAGAACCTAATAAGTTCTGCATTTAAACCAACTGGCATTTATTGTGTTCAATAGTTTTGTGTGATTTTGCGGTTAGGCCACATTTTACATTATTCTTCTGAGTACGCTGATTTTCACCTGCATACATACTTGGCTTTTGGTTTAAAATGTAAATATTTGTGCATTTTTACTAAAACATTCACTGCAACTCAAATGCGAATGAACAATAAATTGTTTCAGTAAGTTAATAAAATCTACCTTAAAGGAGGATCAACTGTAGGCGATTTTTTGCTTCTGAAAGAGCTTTCAGTGGATACGGCTGAACCCGGCTCAGTTGGAATTAGGCTCCCGCCCGACCTTGATTAGAAGCCAAGTACCCCTGAGAGTGAGAACGAGTTCCTCACCACCTTTACAGAGCACAAAGGCTCGTCGAGAAAACTTTCAGTCTGGCTTTTAGGAATGGAAGCCTAACTTTGTGCGCAATGTGATATTACAATATACTAACTTTGATAGAATGACACCACGAAATTTAGTGGCGCTGCAATGCGTTACGCTTGAAACCTATATATTACTAACTGTTGTTCCTGTCGAACTGGCATTTTGAGGCAAATGCTTTCTCGTTGATTTATTGTAGATCTGTGTCTTTAAATTCTCATTGACAAAAATGCTACTCAACCGATCTCACTGAAAATGTTTGTAGCTTACTCACAACTTCCGCTAAAACATTTAGAATAAAATCTGAATTCGACGATTGTCAACCGGCATTTTTTATTTATTAGAGGAGCATTAAGATCAGATCCTTTTAAGTTTTAAATTGAGCAAACACCGATTCCATGGTTTTGGACGTTATTAACTGTTGGAAAGCCTGCAATCTAAATAAATCTTGATATTTAGAGTTCATGCTGCAAGCTTTTGGAGGAGTTCTTTGTACTATTGCAGGGTGGAAGACCAGAGTGGGGACAGTGTGGTAATCAGACACGATGTGTCTTACAACTTTCCACGGGACGGCAATATACCAGTGCCCCGAACGCGAGGACTTGTCGGCTTTGATTGTAAAATATTAACGGTTATTCGTATTACTTAGATGAATTTGAACCTGAAAGATGCACTAAACTAGACAAAGATCTTGTGAATGCTGAAATTGAAGACAAACCCATATAAATCATTTGAAAATCATAGGCCTAGATCAAAACTTCACGGTCTAAAGTTCTGCGGTATTCGAAATAATCGACCATGGTGCAACAAGAAGGAATGTGGGTTCTCCATCTAGTCACCAAGAAAGAACAAAATTTAACCTGTAGTAATGTTCGGGGAACTTCATAGGTTGTAAAGAGGTCCATTTCTTTAAAGAAACTGATATTAAGTATGAGAAAAGGCATATATTTAGCAGTTCACGTACGAAGAAACCAACGGTCAGAACCAGAAAAATCAACATTAAGCATTTTGAAAACGAATCCTTAAACTTTAACGTTATTGCCCGTGCTTGGGTTTGACTCTCAATGAAGCCACTACTGCGGATCACACAGCCTGTCGCTCTAACTTAAGTATCCACATACTGCCATGTCCCATAGTAATGCCATTCTGGAAAAAAACTGGCCAGGGAGTGTCCAGGCGTCAATAAAAACACGGGAATTCGGCTCCCTTTAATGGATCCCCCATACATTCACACACATGAGGTTGAGATCGACTGCATCTACCAGTGTTTGGTTCACCGCTATGCTCTGCACAACGCCTAATCGATTCAGAAGCTGACACCAATCAGTTTTCAAACTAGTGGAGAAGAACCTGTGACATGAGCTGAGGATTATCACAAAGACCAATGAGTGAACTATTACCGTTATGAATTATCGTTTACAGCTCTCGGCTTCATTTCCACAATGTCAGTTTTTGTTGGGATTTCGAAATCATGGTAGCAACTCGGTCCATTACAGGCAGTGACTGTTCTAGTCGCTCTTACCTTGCTGTCAATCCAATAAATTAGCACGGTGTAAGCACCTCAAATAATCTAGGGATCAACACTTCTTTGCATTTTACTACTCAAATCATCACCCATCAGATCGAGAGGTACCTTGACAAGAATGGTATGGGAGGGTAGCGTAACCGGTAGTAAAGACGTTTTTATTAAACATTTGTTACTGGCATTTGCAAGACGTGCAACACGTGTTGTGTATTTACAAAGCAGATTAAAGACTGGCAAAAGTTCATGGACGTGACTGGCGCAGCTTGTTACGTCTTAACGCAAATCCGCTTGACCTTTTGGTAGGTAGTCAAACGTTCCATTGTTGATTCATCATCTGCTTCACACAAACAGACATAATAATTCATTTCATAACTTAAATTTGGCTGTTTATTTAAATAAACATTTAGCGAGTGCTGAGACTTGGCAGCGACACAATCCAAAGTATTTAACCGTTTCTTCATGCGACTTTCAGCCCCCAACATTGAAATAAATCAGAAGGTCAATAGACCAGGTTGTGTTGATTTACATATTAGCAGAATGCAGTTATGGAGGCTGAGAGGAAAGGAAACCAGCGCAGACTATCTGAAAGACCACTTGTCGCCCAAAGGTCATGTGTTTGTGGGACCAACTCGACACCGTACACTACGCGATGCTCAGCGCTGGCATTTTATTTAGGTTCTACGCCATCTACTGTAGTTATGAGAAGTGGTTTTGCATTATCTGTTCCAAAAAGTATAAATTTGGCAGTCTGTGTTTGCAATAAATAAAGCCTTTGTGCGACGAGGATAAATATAAAAAAATTTCAAGACTTGAATTTTGTAATTCTAAGGTGTCCGAATCTACATGACATTTTGGGAGTATCACCAAATATTCAATTTTTTGGCGGCCTCATTATAAAAGCGCAATAGGTTTGTGCCACCTCCATCTTGCCAATTTGGAGACCTGCAACACAACAGACTCTGATGTATTTCTTAAAAGCAATGGCTCAATAAATTTCCGTTTACCGATCAAATGAAAGACCAGATGTGCGACGAGAGGCGACTACAGATGACTTTGTTATATGGAGGATTTCTTGAAGTGAAAATTTATGTAGGTCGCAGAACAGAATTATGCTGAATTCTAAAATGTTAATATGTGAACTGTGATCCACAAAGCAAAGGTATCGCTAATATGCGTTGTTTAACAAAATGCTTTATTAAAGGACAGCAGATACCACGTCTTTGATAGATCGGTGTGCCAAGAGATGACTGGAGCTTGGCCTTTTGGAAGAAATATTTATGTAATGTCTGTACAAGGTCATGATTGAAGCCGGTTTGCGTATTGAACCTCCTTGAAGCGTAGCGTGTCTATTTTGAAACGATGCCGAGTATTTTGGACCATTTGTGGTTCATTTTGACAACTGCGTTGCCAACTATGCGGGTGGCTACTAGTGACTCAGTTATCGTGACACGAATTCACCCTAACCCAAAAACCCAATAAACAGTAATTCATTATTGGCTTCTACTAGGCACTTGATTTTGATATTACAGAAAAAAACATTGTGGGAGGACTGCCTGGGGAGAGCTGTGAAAAATCCGGTTTGGTTAATAGTGTTAAAGGGAAGGTGGATGTTATTGAGCAACGTGGCAGTCATTTTTGACTCAAAGTCGGACATCAGTGCAAACATTTCTGGAGAGCAATTCATGTCTGCAGCAAGTTGAATGCTTGCAAACCTATAAACATGTGTGATGAATACTTTACCTAAGGAACAGAGCGAGCAAACCACAAAATGACATTTAATGGATCGGATTGACGCTTCAACGCGCAGTGAAAACAAGTTAACCAGCAACACCAGAAATCATGCCCAAAATTTATCGCTGCCAATAAAACCTCTATTTACACACTCAGTCTGAAATTAGTTGTGAATTTGGCTTAAATTAAAGTAATCATTCACAAATGCCACGCACAGGAATTCAGGAAATTGCTCAGTCTGTTCAAAAATTTGTCCACTATAGTCAACATTTGTTCCTTCATGATAACAAAGCTATCCGTTGTTTAAACCTTGTTCTAGTGTAAATATTCTAAATCGCTTCACATACCAATACAAAAAGTTAACGCCCAACTTTTAATCTCTTGATGACGTTTGTTGGATTTAGAGGTTGTGGCCTGTGTTGGCATTGTGGCCATACATAGGCAAGATCGAGATGTTTATATATTATTGCCCGGTGATAATGGACTGCTGATAAAATAACTTAACGTGTTGCGACTTTGTCAATTAGGTTAAGGTGAACCCTCGTTTCACTAAATTAAGCAAGCTTATAAAAGAAAAACACGGACTATTTTGGTTCAGTGTAAAATAGTAGAAGTGGTTTGAAAAGAAATGTTGTGAAAACCTTAATCATTAGTTTTGCTCCTAAACTATGTGATCATGTGTTCCGACTGTTCACATTTTTGACCTCGAGACCCCCAAGAACAGTGCTTTCAACGTGCACAAAGAGTTAAGACTGCAGGACAGTGATCTTCACTTACATACGCATGGGAGATTCGACGATAGGTACATGATTGTTGATATATACTGTATTTTTAATACATACGTTGGCGTTTCACACAAAAGAAACCAATATCACTAAAGCCGTTGCTGCAAGACAGGCACACTTCAGCCCCAACGCAGAGCAGCAAAAGCAATGGCCACCCATCTTGGAGAGCAAAGGTCGAAGTGTTCTGGTCTGGTGTACACTCTGAAGCCTGCCTTGTGTGCTATTGAAATATAGTACCTGGCATTCTCGTGGCGCTTCCCTCGGAGGCAATCCCTCGATACCAGTCCACTGACAAGGTTGTTCAAGACAACTGCAAACAGACACTCGTCGGCTATTATGCGGTCACTAAAACTTCTCAGTTCGATAGGCTTCCCGGCTCGAGCTAGCTGATCATTGACCCATCTTAGTAGTTCGTGTTCGTCGTAAGCGTCTCTAGTGAGGTAGCTTCGAAGCATTTGCAACAGCAGAGCTTCACAGGTCGCCTGGTCACTTTTTGTAAGCCTTTCGGCATCTAGGCTAGGCAAACGGAAAGGATAGCCCTGCACCAGCCTTAGAATGCACGTGTTGTTTTGCAAGAACTGTGCATCCCTGCGAATAAAGTCAAACTCGTGTGTAAATTTTAGTCCAGTTGTGAATCCTGGTCGGAGGATCTCAAAGATTTGCTTCGCAATCAATCCATCACGGAGGTTGCTAATTATATGTGTGCAGTAAGGGGAAACATTCAGGGAATTAACAAAGTTTCGTGAAGACAACTCGTTAACATCTTCTTTGGAGACGGGGAAATCACCGCCTCCATAAGCCTTCATTTCCCCGGCGAATCGGTCAAAAAGAAAGGCCACTGTAATAAGATGGAGCACACCACGCGATTCCCGGTGATGTTCAGCATGAACGAAATCATCTTCGCACAGAAACATTTCTGCCCCGAGCTCCCGCAGATTCTGGAGAACGGCTTTTGCACGATTTCCAATGTTGTTATCGAGCAGAACTTGGTCTGCGGGAAGAAGTCTGGGACGAACAGTCACTGGTGCGATTTTGTAAAGTAAATGAGCGTACACCATGCAATCAGAGAGATCATATTCAAAACTTGTAAGGGTTTTGGTGATGCCAGAACTTTTGAGGTGGTAATTTACATATCTGATGAGGACGAGTTCTGGTGATAAACACCTCAAGTCATTAAGGTCTTCGTTAACGTGACGAAGTGTAAGGATTTCGGGGTGTTCATGAATATTTATCTTCCGAAAGAAACCCTTTAAAATGACCTGCTTAAAAAATTCTAGACTCGCTAATTTGAAGTAAGTTCGAGCACCCATAAGATCATCCACAGTTATTGTTTTGACGGCACACCCGTTACATCGGGCAGCCGAGAGAGCTAGTTGGAGATTCTCTACCCTATGGCTGGCGTAGAAGAGGTTATCACTTTTGTTGATGGCGCGTTCGTCAATGGTGTTAGGGAAGAGACAGTTGATGATTTTACATGGGATGACGCCCTTCTTTGTAGCATCGTAAAGACTATCACTGAAAGGGTCCAAAGGCATGTATGCCCTACAGTCAGGGTCTTTGCTGAGCTTCTTGTTAATAAATCGGCAGAAGCCTTGTCGGAGACCCGATTCATAAATCTAGGAGAATGCGAAAAAATGCGTCCATGAATGCTGTCTTAGAAACCTAATTTTACTCTGTTCCTACTTTACTGTGTTCTATACTAAATTTTAACCAAGAGAACGCGCGTAACGCATGTGCTAACGGAACGACTTCTCCAACCCTAATTAACAGTGGGTAGCAACCTGGTTCCAAATGCACAAATTACTAGATTCACACCTCTTTAAAAAGTGATTGTGGCTACATTACATCGCTTATCGTGTTCAATTCGCTATATCCAAATTATAGAATCAACCAAAACGAAGAGCACGTGATCGCAATTTCGGAGCTTTAATTTGTCAAAAAAACAACTGAATATTTATATTTAGTATCGCATTTGGGATAACGAAAATCAGAACCATGCTTCATGCTTTAGCCATTGCGATTTTGAAAAATTAAAATGTCGAAATGCCAGTTAAAAAATGAACCAATGTAAGGAAATTCATCAATAGTTTAAGACCAGTATTTAAGTATAGATGCAAACAAATAACGCAACCTCACATTTCCCGTTGGTACATAACCTCCACACGACATGGTTATTCAAGCGCCCTCATAAATCAAACACTGTTCGCAAGTGTTCAAAAGTGACGATCAATATTTGGCTAAGGTTTGAGTGACAGCGTGCAGCGTGAAATACAAGAAGCTGCCTGTAACAGAAGGTGTAGGAACCAGGAATGGATAGTGAGATCAGTCTTCAGGTGATAGGGAAAAGGTCTCAGTAAGTTTCACGTTCACAGCAACAGCACATTTACACGTGAGTAAGGATGAATCTTACAGGAATAAAACATAGATGAGAAATGCGTGAGCTATCTCTGTTGTTGTAGGTTGAATTTTTTTAAAAATGCCCTTTTTATTAATTCCGACATGGAAGTCTAGTGGTTACAGAAGAAAATTCACTTGAAATTTTCAGACGTGGTAGGCGGTATGCCCTATCAAGAACTACTTTGGCCCTGTGTGGATTTAGCTAAAAGCAAAGCTGCTTCCAAAAAGGAAGATTTTAGACATTCTGAAGGCCAATAATGCATTACTGTTAGTTCAAGTCATTTTTTGCTCAGATAAAGTTGGCAATCACGAGAAATACTAACTCGATCAAGGACCATCATTTGACTGATTTAATTAGGACCACTATTCAGCTTGACCACGCGACTAAAGCCCAGTGGAATGCCTGCCATTGCCTTTCTCTGACTAACAGATCCATTTCGAGTTCTCCAACTCCAAAATAGTTCAAGATTTTAAATGAAGGTATGGAAATAGTTTGCTGGCCAATGGACTTTCACCCCTTAAATGTCGGTGCTTAACCAACGATCTGACGAAGAACACGGGATAGTGCTGCTCGGTCATTTGCGCGAGTGTGTTTATGCACGCGCCTTGGACCGGTGATGCAGCCCTTGCCGCGCGGAGCGGTCGCGCGCGTTTGCAGCACGAGGCTTTCGGGTCTTGGCGGTGTGCGTGCAGCGTGCAGCGACGCACCGGCACGCAGGCAAGCCACTCGCTACGATCGTTCAACCCACATCGTCGGCCGTGTCTCAGCACTGCGGCCACACAACCATTGTTGTGTGAATTGCAGCCCCCTAACTTTTCTACCACTACTTTTGCATGGTCATTTACTATTACCGTGGGGTCAAATGAAGCATACTTGGCATAAACGCATTCAGTCAACATATTTACCGCCCATACAAGGGCTTCTGTTGAGGCCAACAGTACCCGTCTCCGGTTTCTGTTAGGTCTTTCAAATCAAAATGGCTACACATCAAATGCATTTACCTTGTCCCAGTCTAATTAACGCTGTTGAAAGCGAGGTCGGTAACTTAAGAGAAAAAACAAATGTTCGTTATGTGCAACAGTTCAACACAAAATTCAGCGTCGAAATATCAAAAGTACTGCCGACAACTACCAAGAATCCAGCTCATCAGCTTCCTTTGGTGCGTATGTAAGCGAACCACGGTGAAAACAAAATTTGGCAACCGGTTCTAACTCTAACTCAAGATATAAAACGGAGATGGCTAAACGAATTGAAATTAAATGCAAGCTGCATGAGGTAGTTATTAGTTTATGCAAACGGTGTCTTCGAAAATAAAATAAATCGCATGCCATTTCGCTGGGTTTTCGTGTACGTAGGGTTCTAAGCTATCAAAAATAGCCATTTCGGGGTCCCATTTCTCAATTAGGCCACTTCACAGAAAGCGTAGTACTAGTGTAGGTTATACTGGAGGTAGCTAGCTGACTAACTCTGAAGGTTTCAAGAATCAAACGTTTGGTGTAAAATATTTTCAGATGTACTACCTGAATAAACCAAACTTTCACTTTTCGGCTCTTTAATGTGCGTTTAACCATCTGGCTTTTCCATTTGACTAAGGACATCTAGTGAAACTTTTGATGCAAAAAGAGACCCTCTTATTTGAATCGGTCCTACAAGTGCACGAGTGACAACGATAGCTTCTTTAACTTATGGCAAAAGCGTGCTTTGGTTACAATAAAAAAGTAACTTCTGATCCTAGCCACCTCTAATTGTGCATTCATTGTCCGTGACGGAAACATCCGCTTGTTGCAGCAGCAACACGAAAATCCATATCGCCGCGGCGGTCGAGTGGGCTGTTCGTGTGCACACAACACACACACACACACACACACACAAACGCACACTCTCGATTCCTCAGTTGGGTCCTTTTGCACACAAGCCTGTCATACTTTCTGTTAAGAATGGCGCAGTGCGATTCTCGTTAGATTGAAGTACATTCTCAAGGCGATTATAAATACAACTTATGACTATCTCTTCACTGTGGGGTACCTCGTAAAAATGCTACTAGATTAAAACATGACAGATTTGTGACATTCCCTGGTAGGCAAGCCAGGTAATGTCAACACTACAGCTCCAAAGTTTCCAGTTTAAGCTTTTTGTCTAAACATACAAATACTACACCTATCAATTATAACTACCCTCGAAAATTGACTATAACTAATTCGAAAGGTGATACTCTTAGGTAAACCGTCTGCTCGGGACAAAGATGCAGTGGCTCTACTGGATTCAGAAGCATACAACGAGAAAGGTCCCGCTTCGAATGCTAACACAAGGGTTCAAAACGACGTCCTGAGTCGACCTTCAACTGATGCTCTTCCATAAGTGACACAAATATAGCCATTTATTAGGGCTGCTTCCATCACTTACCTTTTTTCCGACTATGAAGCTGCGCGAGACATGATTTGACACAACCTTGTCCAAATGTCGGGATCCGTCACTTGCCACTTGAACTGACAGTCCCTGTTTCCCGCTGTTTTCCCTTTACGCAGTTGGTAAAAGGGGGACATTTTTCTCCTTTAAATTACGACGCGTATCTATCAACAACCTAGGATGTCTTTGAAGATCTAAGAGCAGAACAAATGAATGCTCGGACGTTTGTCGCGGCGTGGCCACACGCCAGCTAAAATCATACCTTTGCTTGATTGACAGAGTTTGCCATTGTCCAGTCGACTGTCAGTGCTTCCGTCAATCGTGTTCAGCCTAAAATGCATTTCTACTGATCGTATATTGAAACCATAACTGTAGGCTTGAGTTGATACACATAAACAGAACGTGGGGGTGTTTACACTACAACCTCGGTAAACACAAACGCGAAACGCCTGCGCTTGAACATGTGCACTTAAGCGCTATTAGGCAAAAACACGATAACTTTCAGGACACGAAAAATACTATGGAATACCTCTGATACTTCACTATCACACTTATAATGATTGTATTTGCCGACATTTCTAATAGAGGATAAGTCCACCGTAAATAAAACCAAAATCAGCAAACTGATCAGTAATGGAGGTTAAAGATGTGGAAGATTCTGCAGATCGTGGAATTGAAGTTTCATCATATCTATCACAAGACATATCGTTTAAGTTGCCAGGCATGTCGGTAAAGGTGTATGTAAGATAGCTGGACTGCATTCATAATTAACGCTGAGACGATTGACCACTGGCCATACATATTTACTGAGAAAATATGTGATTCTCAAAATGATTGCAAATATTTCTTGTACATGTCTTCTACTGCTATAAATGGAGTTGCTGTCTTCTAGTAACGAAATTTTCAGTTACCGCATTTTCTCGAAAAGGGACAGGAAACCTTAGTAGACGACTAGATGTGCGACCAATTTCCTGTGATGCCACAAGGCGTTATTCAGTTGGTCCTTAATAAAGCAAGGCAGTGGTAGTGACTAACAAACAGAGTGCAATTTCACTAAACTTTTCAGAAATTGGATTTTATTTGACCAATTCAGTAACATGCCCGCACGCTTTCAAACACTGAAACCGGGCGAAAAGGCTTCAACGAAGATGGTTTTGATTCTAGTTTTTTTAAGGGAATAAACAGAGGCATTCGGATCGAACTACATGAGAGCAACACTGAGTAACTGGCGAACAAACGACTCTACAGACCTACAACTTTGAAACCCTTTCATAGGGATCTAGTGCACCTGCTTGATTTACAGAATTTACCGCAAACACCACCATTGTTAATGACCTACTTACACTACAGGTCCTTAGTCATGCCATGATGGCTACATATAGAGGAGGAGACTCCGAAATGTTCGACAGAGGAACCCCACCTTGTTTAGCCACCAGTTACTGGATTTTAAACGATTCAGTTAACTGATGTCCAGTAGACATTACGCAGTATACAACAACCAGGGACCAGATAACACCACGGACTAAGCTATAGTGAACTTGAAAGCTGTACAAGTCCCTTGGCGATATAGTAACATGGACTCACAAGCTGTCAGGCTAGCAGTATCCACACCTGCGAACCACTTGCCCAATGTCGACATCGAGCGCAACTCTACGCCAGCACCACTAACGCCCGGAAACTAAGGAAAACGAAACAGTCAACATGTAGACATCCGTCGTCTTAGGTAGCCACCGGTACGTCACCCAACAAAGACGCACAAGTCAATTTGTGTAAGAAGCTTCATTATTGTAATAAGTGCAATAAATCTGCGCAAGTGGAAAGAGCGGGTGGGGAAGCAAATCGTTTGCAAAACAGGAAAAAAAGAACACAAAGGGAAGTGGGGATGAGATTTATCGAAACGCCAAGTAGAATAGAAACAAAAGGATGGTTTATTCACGAGCGATCAATGACGACCTATAGAGATTGGAAACAAGAAAAGAGCGCGTAATAGCAAAGGAGGCAGAATATATTTCGAAAATTGACTAACAAATACATTTACACGGGTGACTGCGGCAATGTGAATGGTTAAATCGTTGGGCAACTTAAAGTTCAGTGTGTATCAACTATCTATAAATTCATAATGACAAAGCAAGGTGTAGAAAACTTCGCTCCTGAATTATAAGTGAGGAAAGAAACCCAAAACGAAAAGCCCAACACGCGCACACACACACCTAGGGGATGAGCGGAAAGCGTACAGGAAAACGGTTTGTGAGTAGAAATGTTACTTTCAGAAAGAGCACGTGTGCAAGACGATTGAAAACGGTGAATGTGGATGATAAAAGCGTCCGAAGTATCCGTGGTAGGAACGGCTCTCCTCCTGCACATAACATTTACTTTTTTCGCATAAGCGTGAGGAACTTTTTCTTCGGCTTAGACGGTGCAGGAACTTGCGCACCACTACTCGTAGTTTCAGAAAGGTGGAGAGCAGTTGAGGGGAGAGTTGCAGAGCGACCAGCAGGCGAAACCAATCCGCCTTCTGCCTCCTCTTCTTCCGTGGTCGGCATTACCTTGACAGGGGCTGGGAGTGAAGCCGAGACCGAGTTGATTGTTTCGACCCAAGTATGCATTTCGTCTTCTGAGAGGCATTGGAACAATGACTCGCCGCCGTTTGGTAACTTCAAACGGAATACATACGGACGCTTGTCATAATCAGTGGCAGGAGCGGCCACAGCACCGGCAAGATTAACAGGAGGCACTTTGTGGTACAAGTGTCCCGGTTTATCATGCGCAGACCGAGAGTCCTTGTAGGCGGAAAGGGTGCCAAGAGTAGCATCAAGAACAAAGTAAAGCTCAACCCAAGACCGTCCGAATGCTCGTTTGACTGTGGTTTCCCACTCGTTCTTCCGATGTAGGAGAGCTTCGAGATTGCGTGGAGTGGGACGGCCGGAATCGACAGATTCACGGAGAGAGCGACCTGTTGGTGTTTCAAAGCCACGGCGAAGTGGCGTACCATGCATTGGGCCGGAAGGCACGGCAGGCTGTGAAGTGGATGGAAGAGGCTGAAACTCGCGACTGGCATCGACAATTTTCTGTTCAATTGCTTTTTTGCGTGCGGCTTCACTCTCCGGGGTTTTTTCTTTGGCTTTCAATTCAAGCTAATACATAAGAGAAGCAGAATGAATAAATAATGAACAATATCGATGGAAAACGGCGACTCATCAAGACAACTAATATAGGAGATGACTGAGTTTGCAAAACAGACTGCTGCGGCACACTCAGCAAGCGGAAATCAACTAACATGCGCCGATAAGAGGAAGCTTTACATAATTCTTTTCGAGGCAATTAAAGCACGGGGCGCCTTTGCATTACTTGAGGGTAAGGTATAAAGTATGGTACATAAAACAGAAAACGACTGCTATGTTGAGATAACAACTTATCGTATCTCCAAGGGCAGAAGTGCATGGTAAATCACACATCTACGACAATACAGGAGGGAGTACCGTGGTTAGTTTTTCGAGAGCAATAAATCGTTCCTCTTGGGTAGCTACGGCCTTCTCAAAGGCGAGGTGTTTCTTGAGCAGAGCAAGAGTCTCATCCAAAGATTCACCGAGATCGGGGCTCTTGACGAAGGACTCCTGGGCAATGAGCCAGGCCTCAGCAACGGCCGCGTCACGAGCGAAGTGATAAACCTCTAACATTAGCTGAAGGTTCTCATTTCTGTCGTTCCACTGTTCCAGCATGATCACGCGCTCAGTGACCAACTAAAATTGACAAGGAATTCTTGAAAATCTGCTTACAAATACATGTCGGACTACGCTAATGAATGAATTTGTATAAAACTAAAAACATCACATTTCGTTCACAGTAAACTAGGACTAATCAAAGCGCAGAACCGATGCACTGAATTACTAGGCAACAAGGGAACTGCGTCAGGAATGGACTGCTTAATTTGCTAAAAAGATTGTTTGCCAGTAGCGCTAATTAGGAAAATACAGAGAATTTACAAATAAAAAGTGTGACTATTGTACAACGCAAATAGTTTAAATGGTGCCGCGATCAAAAAGACTTGGCTTTCATTTCCAACAACAAAATTAGTGCTTACGAGATGGTATTTGCAGTTAAATAATTCTATAATTAGTGTACATGGAGAAATTCCCCATCGAAAAATAAACAAGGCATATTTAATGAAGCCTTCAGTAAGAAACTGAATGCCTAGCGATGTCTTCGACCCAGTTTAAGACGTGGATAGATTTAAACCCTAAATAACAAACAGACCACCATTTTCGAATAAGAACTCTGCCCAAAGATTAAACAAAGTCAAGAATTGTTGCTAGCTCATGGTTACCTTGTGAAATTGGTGGTTAAGGGTAGAGGGGCAAGTGAGATTAGCTACTGCTTAAGCACAATTATACTGATTGGTTCATAGGAGTATTGTGTCACTCGAAGGGCAACCTGAGCCGAAGAATGCACACACACGCAAGCAACAGGTGGGGGAAGAGTGGAGTCGGAAAGGTTGGTTTGCAGTCAACAAGAATAGACAACATATAACACAGAAGGATTGAGGTTTTCTCCAATTTATTAATCGGGCTACACTAGTGAAGAGGATGATAAGTATTCACGAAGCCCCACTAAGCTTGTTCGGCTTGGCGAGGAAATTGAGCTCGCAAAAAACCATGCTGATGAGACGACACATAGTACGAGATGACATTAAAATTATCATTCATAATGCATAGGCGGCCGGAGCTTTATCAAACACCTTCGGCTAGTGCACGAGCCTGATATTAGCATTTTGCAAATCACCTTCAAGGGGCTACTAAGCGACAGGAACTGGGTTTAACAACGAAAAGCATTTACCTGGATGCACTTCTCCCGAATCTCCTCCTCTCGTGGGTGACGTCGATTGAGGAGAGTTCGTCCGAGACTCAAACAGATACTAAAGTTTTCTTTACGGGCATCAATCTCAGCCTTAAGACTCTTGTGATTGTTCATCAACAGCTCAACTCCAGAAACATCCCTGTAAAGATAGGTAATCAATGATGACTATAGGATATTTATGGAGATAAGACTGGCTGGAGTGCCTTTAAAAAGTTAATTGATTGATTTAGGTGATATGAAGAGGTTAACAAAGTGGTGTGCATTTGCCATATAACTGTTGCGAGAAACAGCTCTTTACTAATGTTGAGAATGAACTACACTCAAGGCAAAAAAGTTATGGAGTTATAACATAGTAAAGAATTCTTGGTCAAAATCTTGCAGCCTGGAGTTTTCAGACAACGGCGTCCTGGGAAACAGCCAATCGGCTAAAAAAACTTTGTTGGCTAATGGCGCTAAGTTCCGGGAATAAGCAAAACACCAAAGGTGATCCCTACCTTGGTTTCTCCTTAATGGTCATTTCGGTGCGCATGGCTTCCATCCATAGTTGGAGTTCCCGGACCATGGCAAAGAACTTGTGAACATCGCTAGCATCCAGGAGGTGTATCTTCCTCTGTTCGGCGGCGTACTGCAGTTGCCTCCATGCCTGAACAACTTCATCACGACGATCACAGATGATGCTTTCTTTGTCACCCGCGTAGCTAGGCAACAGGTTGTTGGCAAAATCGACAACCTCTTCAACTTGCTGCCCCAGGCGAGATAGCTCGGCCTCGTAGGCCGCATGCTTGCGCTGGAGGACAGCAACAGCTTTGGCGTCACGGCCCACATCCTCCGGAATTATCCCTGATTTTTCAGCGATCCTAAAAGCACGCGCAAATATTTTTAATGAATAACTTCAAAATGAAATTTTGCTACGAGTACCACCATGACCCGAAAAATGAGTAATCGTTGAGTATGGAAATGACGCAATCATTTTTTCACAATCAATGAAAAAAACCACCTTCCATGTTATACGGTATTAAAAAAAACAATGCTCCCGATTGTAATCTAAATACGCGCAACCCTAAATTTCGACCCACAGATATCAGTATTCTCCCAAAAACCTTCGCTAGTTATCTGACAGTCTCGCGAACGGCGTTGCTTGAATACAAACACGCTTAAAAGAGGTCACGCTCCCCACTACACTCATTTCACAGGTAAAAAAATTGACTTTAGCACAAGGTAAGCGTTTACAGCAGTCTACGAAATTAGGCGGACGCGAAATTTTGCAACGGGTAACGAAGTTGGGCAAACTCAAATTTTTTGCTATGGTACTGGTCAATTTCGCAAAAATAAGCCGATTTTATGCTGTGGTAGTAGTAGTAGTAGTAACATGTAATAAGAGCAAGTTTTGGATAAATAGAAGAAAGGAAACTACAAATAGACACGTTAAAAACCGAATCATGTGACGAATCTGAGCCTTCTGTAGTGGCTTTAAAGTGACTTCTCAAATGGTGTATGATTTATACCTGTCAAGAACATCCTGGCAGTCACACAAGAATTTGTGAAGATCCCATGCCGCCTTGAGAAGTTGGATTCGGGTCTCGATTAACTCAAGAAGATCAGCCCAGGCTTCATTGACACGATCCTTCCAGCTGGCGATTTCAGCAGCTTCTCCATGACCCTGAGCGATGAGGGCGTCACACAACTCGTTGGCGCTTGCCACTCGCAGTTTCCCTAATTCGTTAGTCTCCTTCGAGAAGTCAGCGAAACGTTCCCTCAAGAGACAACAGTGCTCGTAGTCGGCACCCATTTCGTGACTACTGGCAATAACTGTGCGTTCAGCGATCCAAGCCTGAAAACACGTCGTAACAGGTTCATCGAACAGTTTCCAATTAAGTGTCAAGAGCGCTGGCAGGCTAGGCAGCCAAAGATCATTTTGATAACCAGCTATCCTGAAGTTACTAAAGTCTGATTCTACATTTTGCACACAAGCAATCGAAATCGAGTCCTATTCTACAATTGCAGAGGGCTATCTTACTTCAGAAGACATTGCGCAACCTCGACCAGGGTACTGCCACTGTCACTTTATAATCGTCAACAAGAGCACATAATGTGGGTAGAGACATCGGGGGATTAAAACTCAATGAATCCAAAACTCACTTCCAGATCGAGGATTTCACGGAGCAGGCTGTAGAGCTTCAGAATCTCTTCCAGTCTCAACCGACGTTCCAAGCAAAGGTCATGTAGTCCAGCATACATCTTGTCCACTCTAGACTGCTTAGCGGCAACTACTTCACTTTCGGGGTGTCCAGATTCAACCATGGCCCGACAACGGTCACCCAAGGAACGAATCTCGCTTGCATAATTCTCGATTGTCTTTTGAAGTAGCTCATGCTTCTTCATCGCATTGGTAGCACCTTGCTCGTCCCTAGCCTTCTCGTCTCCCATAAGATAAAGCTCTTGTTCACCCATCCAAGCCTCTGCCTCGCTAGCGTCGAAAAGGTACTGTTGGGCGACTTCGTTTTGCAAGAGAGCAGCTTGGCGATCGTCCAGAGCTAGGCGCAGCGAAGCCCACAAAGCTCTAACTTCGTCGATACCCTCTCGGAACTTCTCGCTGTGAGGGTGACCATCAGCAATCATCTCTTCACCTTGCTGATTTGGGATGAAAATACGTGAAAACGATGAGACAGTGTCTTAATACAGATTACGGCGGCATTAGAAAGTAATCAAGCCATTTAATAAAGCAAATTCGATTGAGAGCGCTTAAATTAGGGAACATAAACCGACTCCTACTTTTCCCGAGACTTTGAACAGGTAAAAACAAAACATGGCCTACTCAAGGACCAATATTTTGTCAGTCAGAGGACAAGAATAGTGAGTAGTAATAGACTGAAAAATTAGAAATCTGTTGGATTCTCAACAAGTAGTTTGCACCAAGAATAAATAGGCCCCACCTGACAAACGGCATCGATACGTGGTTGGTGGTTATCGACCTCATTTGCGAGCATTTTGTGACGTCGTTGCATTTGTTGATTGCTAAGTAGGCTAGTTCCCATGCGACCGTGGTCTTCAATGATAGCGAGTTTCTCCCTAATCCAATCTTTCTCATCTTCTAAGTCACGGAAAAACTGGCGCACACGTTTCTGCTTAGTGAGCCGATCGCGACGATTGGCCATTGGGGCCTCGAGTTCTGTGAGACGAATGCGTACTTCCTGATGGACTTGTTCAAATTCGTCCTTTCTGTCAGGATACTGCTCCTTAAGCTTCTCGGCATGTTTCTAAATTGGGAGGACATATTAATACTTAGAACTCAATCGAAGGAATGATAACTCTTCCAAAATCACTTTTAAACACACAGAGATACGGAGTTACGACTCACGGTAAAAACAACACCAACTGATTATGATAAAAAAAAACTAGAAAGCTTACAGCCATGTCCTCGAGCATTTTGCGCTTGGCCATTAGCTCTTGCTCCTTTCTTTCTTGATCCTTAATTTGTTCGTTCAGTTCCACAAGTCCGACTTCTTCCGTTACCTCCTCTGTAGTGGTGACAATCTGCGAGGAGACCTCGGTGATCCAGGTGAGCATGGACTTGGCTGTCTCGTCAAACAATGCCTCCCGGTTCGAGTCAGCCAGTTTGGCGCTTTGCTCCTGAGCCTGATTATTCAAGTCAACCCATTGACGGCGAAGAACCTCTATCCGTGGTTCAATCTCCGCTTGTAACTGCGGTTGTTCAGCAATCAGATGCTCACCAGTGGCAATGACTTTCTCAATTTTATCCTTGTTTGCATCTAACTCGCTTTCAAAAGTCTTGAATTTCCCATAGATGGCGGCAATGCCAGCACCTCGAGGTGGTGGTGCATGCTGGGCGAGTATCGTTTTTTCGGAGATCCACTCTTCAACCTATAGGGGAAAGTGATGAGGACAATCTCGATAACTAAGCCCCCACTTAGTCAGTGTTAGGCAAGTTGGAGTTAAAAATGGCGGTTACAACTGCACGATGAACAAGCGAACGCACAATATCTTGAGGGAGTTTGGGGAGCCTTGCTCTGAAACCCACGACACACACACACACAAAGTACTCCTAACGAGTGCGGACAGTATTACAGCCAAATTGTTAGAATGTACACGAATCACTTTCGTGCAAAAAATAAGCCAACAGTCGCTGAGTAGTTAAATGAAAGGAAAGAACTCAGGACTTGGTTCCTAAATAGGCTTATGATAAATGACATTTGATGTGTTACTCCAGAGCAGAAATTGGTTATGCGGAAAAACACTGACATGACCCATCCTCGATTAATTAATCAAGTTGACTGAAAATAAAACAGACACCCGCGCGCAAATTCTGAATGTTTACATGTTAAATGAAACTTTTTGTATGGTATGGTCTGTTCCACAAACCCAAAGGAATATAAGAATGGAAAAAGCGAGGAAAATACTCAACACTTCTAAGTTCGGTCAACGAATCCTTAAAGAGCTAAAACTGCATTAGGCACCAACAAAAGGTGCTAGCGCATTTTGTGAAACACGAAATGATAAGTCCCATCTAACCAACTATTTAAAGCACATTAAGACACCTATAATGGTGGTGATACTTCAACATCAATGATGTCTACAGTAACTTTAAAAACTAAAAACCCGGGTTAGTCAAGGGTGTGGGTGGTTATTTTTGACTTTACCTGTCCGTCCATCTGAAATTAAGAGAGTGGTGTTTAAAAAGGCACATAACAACAAATTAGTGGGGCGGGATTTAAGGGAGCCTTACGTCATCGACATCCTGAACGAATCCTTGCAGCCTGGAATGTTGAGCTAATTTGGCCTCACGGTCAATCGCCTTCTCCTTGACAGCTTGACGCCTGTAAAGTCGAGGGCGACAGGTGAACAGGCACACCACGAAGATGAGTGCCGCGTTTAACCAGTAAATAAACAAGGCCTACCTTTGTTCAAGTTGATCACACTTAGCTAGGATTTTCTCAACGGGGAACACGCCACGAGCGGCTAAGTCTCGACCAACGGCGATGACTTGGGAGATCTTTTCGTCGTTGGCGGGCATTGCGGCCTGGAAGGTGTTGAGATTACGCAAGGCTTCGTCCACAGATTCTGGAGTAGACTAAAAGGAATTGGTATAAAACAGTGATAAAGTGACTTCACACAAAACTTATATGAACATAAATGCAAATGGAGCTGTAGAATTCAGTCATCGCCCTAACCGACACCCCGCAAGTCCTCACAGCCAAACATTCTCAGTGCATGTTAAAAACTGATTTGATCCTGTAGAGGAACTGACTAAGTACTATTAACCTGTCAGAAAATACACCGCAGACGTGGAAGCTTACCACAACTTCCTTGGAAATCAGAGCCTCCTGTTTATTGATGAGTTTATCCATGAGGGTAGCATCTCTGAAGAAGGACTGAAATAAAGACCAACGGATGATAATCAATGGAAAGTGAATTTAAACGCTAGCAATGTAATTGAGACGAAATTAAGATCGAAGCTTCTTTAAGTCAACTGAATATGCTGTTTAAAGATTCCACCAATGACCGGAAACCATATCTCTGGACGTACAGTCGATGTGCAATATTAAAGCAAATCGTTCATGACAAATGGGATTTTTGTGCTAATAAATGGCTACAGTAAAAAAATAAATTACAAAAGGAAAATGCCAACCCAACGTCCAGATCAAAAAGTTCTGAATAAAAAAAAAGAAATTAACCTGAGCTTCAACATCCTGCTTGAGGACCTTGTCTCTATCCTCGTACATTTTGTGTAGAGCTACCCAATTTTCCTCAATGCCATCAAGACGCTCGGCAAGGAAGAGGTACTGTGGATCGGACTGATTCTCCACTACCCTCCGACCCATTTCCATGAGTCGCTTGAAGTCGTCCTCGTAACCATCAATTTCAGGCTTGAATTGTTCATGATTCTGCAGTAGCTTCTCGGCTTCCTGTAAAAACACGAGATGGTCTTAATGAAGCAAAGCAAAAGTTTACACAAAGAGTGCATCATGAACCAGAGTTTGTGTAAGAATATCTCAAAACACTGCATAGGAGCGAAAAGTAGGGCTACGTCAACAAACTGCTTAGGAAGCGTGTGAACGCGACACTATGTCATAATTATTATAAAATCAGACCAAATTATATATACTTTTGGGAGACCAACAAACACGCATTCGCATACGTAAGCGGACGAAAAGACAAATTCATTACGCTGGCGTTAGGAGCACAAAACCCAACACTACATACACTTGCGCCAAATCTCACACAGCAAGCCTGCACTACGTTCAATTTTATTAAACGATCCTGGCAAATTGCAGATGAACGTTACCTTTATAAGACTATTATTTTAAACAGACATTTACGCAGAAATCGATGCTCTGGGGATAAACGCACTTTTCTTAACCACCGGCAGCGCTTTATCATAAGTGAAGGAAATGCTGTAGAACAGAAACGTAGTTATAGCCAGAGATTGCTACCCCACCCGAACGATCTAATTGCGTTACCAAGGCTTGCTTTGACTTGACTTATTTAAATTCGTTAATTTTACATTTTATCCTTATTTTATTAAAATGAGTAAGCTACAATCCTTTAAAAATAGTGCAACTCCAATCTGTATGAAGTTCAGCCTAAACTGCAAGTGTACTTTGGACTAATACTCTTAAGCGGAACTGCTGCTAAGGGCAACACGAACAGAGGTCAACGGTGGTTTTTGATGTAACTCACGGCCACTGATAACTTATTAGAAGGGTGTTAGCAATGGTAAAAGAATCGAGAGTAGCGAGTCGTTTGCCAATGGAATTCGCATTTGTGAACAGAGTAATGCGCTTTTAGGGCGTAAAATTTTTGAAAAACATCTGGACTTATAATATTTGGCAACACGGCCGCTGCGTTGAACAACCATTTGAAAAAACCCATACTACAACAAACCAAGTCTGCAAATGAGGCATTCACATGCGGTAATTAAGCTTTAGACAAATGTATTTTTCCGTCAAACGGACAATAGTACTCTGTTTTCGCTCACTCGAGTCGATAAACGATTGGCCGCGAAATTTGACACTACGGAAATTTGAAAAAAACTTACGGGAAGAGTGTTAGGGACGTCTTCAGATGCGACAGTAACTTGAGCCTTTCGTAGCCAAACCTGGAAATGGTCGAGATCCTGCAAAAACCGTTGGAGTTCACTGGAGTCGTTCAAACGGTCATCACGTTCCTTCAACATTTCCTTTAATTCGTCCCAAAGATCATGAATCTTCATCCTCTCAGCCCGTATAGCCTAAATTTTAAGGTTTGTTAAATTTTGAAGTCTTACCTCCGCCTCTTCTGGTTTGGTGACAACCAGAACGTCTGCTTGTTCATCAAGATGGTCGATCTTGGCCTGGATAGCCTGGAGGTCGCGCTGAAGACCGCTCAGACGACGTTGAAGCTGCATAATACCCTCTAAATCGTTGCCTAGTTCATCGGTCGACTCAATCAAATTTTTCTTATCTTTGATCCAACATGCTGTTTCTTGACACTCGAGCAAATATTGATTATACTGATGAGCAGTTTCAATTCGGCATTTCTGTTTCTCTACCAAATCAGCTAAACCATTCCATGTAGCATTGAGTTTGTCTTGGCGGATAACAATTTGCTGCGAATCAGGATGATCAGTTTTAATCAGATTCTCTGAAAGTTTATTGACGGAACTAACTTTTTCTGCATTCTTCGTCATCTCCTTCTCAAAGCATTCAAACCTATGTCGTGTAACCTCTAGCTCTTGAATCACATCTGAGGGGCACAGTGTAGCGAGAAGCCTTTCTTTTTCAGTAATCCATGTACGAACCGTATCTGACACATCAAATAACTTATACATAGACAACGCATCCAAAAGGCGCTGTTGTCTTTGCTTAGCCAACTCCAAAGCTCTATTGTAGTTTTCGTCAACGTTGTCGAGACGGGAACCAATAATAGTAGAATCGCTGTCAGGATACTCCGAGACTTTAGCGGCGGTAACATGGAGTAGGTTGATGGTTTCACGGTATTGTTCGAGGTTTTCCATTAACTCTTGGTTGATTTTGATTAACGACTCAGTAGTGGACATCTTCAAGCCAACATCCTCGTTACTTGCTATGCGCTGTTGATCAATAAGCCAAGCATCTGCATCATCGCAATCGGCCATCAGTTGGAAGAACTCTTGTGATTCCTGCAGGCGCTGTTTACGTTCTGCCGTTACGTCAGCCAGCTGATCCCAAAGCTCGTGCATTTCATCGATTCGTTGCTGGATGGCTTCTTTGCCACGGTTACCCTCGTTGATGAGATTATTACCAGTAACAACAGAATTGTTAAAAACATTCTGACGAATCTTGCATTCTTCCTCAAGGGCACGGTGTTTGCGAAGCAAACGTTCGACAGAAGTAAGATCGTGACCCAAATCGGGGCTTGACATAAGCTGGCTCTTTTCCTTTATCCATTCCTTCTCGTCATCCATATCCCAGAAGAATTGCCACATTTTACGAGAATCTTCGAGGGCTTGGCGCCTCGCATCAGCCAATTCGTGCAACTTCTCGTAAGCGGCACGTAAATCCTCGCCACGCTTTTGGACAAACTCCGGTTCAATTGGACGATAACCTTCCACGTTCTCGGGGAAGTTACAGTCGACAAAAACTTTGGCCTGGTCCAACACTTGGGTTAACCGGTCATCAAGAACACGAATATCCGCCTCTAGAAGATTGTGTTTCTGCAAAAGGTCATCAACACCCATGAGATGCTTCCCGTAGTCTTCGGATTTCAATCGATTACCAATCTCATCAATCCAATCCTGTAGGTAAGACATCTCCTGGAAGACACGCTGCAGTTGGAGGCTTAAGTTTAAGCAAGCACGGCGTTTGCGAAGCAGGTCTAAAAGATTGCTCCACAAACGAAGGACATTTTCACGACGCATTTGAATACGGTCATTGTCATAGTAATTCTCAAGCTGAAGCTCTTCTGCCACGCTAACTACAGCGTTAACGCGTTCAGCATAGGCAGAAATATCTGTCTCAATGGCCTCATGCTTCTTGGTAGCAGCTTCAACGGCGGCGAGATCGGAACCGAAGTTGTATTGCGCAACAAGACGCTGGTTTTCTGATAGCCAAGCCTCACGCATGCCTGCCTTGCGATCAAAACGGGTAGCAAGCTGCGAAAGTTTTTCCTGTCGGATCAGTTCGTCACGTAATGCCAATTCACGAGCATGTTCTGCCTTTTCTAAATTTTCCCAAGCGCGATTGATATCAGAGATCAATTTTCCGTCAGGTGGGCTGTAAACCTTGTGATTATTAGCCCTCATCTTACTCTGCAATGTAAAAAGAAGTACTTCAAGGGCACCTTTTTCAACAAATTTAGGCGGCTTATCGACCGTACGGTAGGTATTAAAGCCTGCCAATTGATGCTGCACATCTGGTAATGAATTCGCAAAAACGCGATCGTTAAGAAGCTCAATTGTTTTTTGAATCCAGGTGAGGAGCTCGGACGTCAACTGTTCGTATTGGTCAATCAGTTGAGACGATTCAATCGCTTGGTTCACAACCTTGCCGATACGCTTGGAGTGTACGGTGTCAGCCTTCATCTTATTAAAATAATGGTAGTAGGCGGCCACATACGTAATGATCGACTTCTCATCAGGCTGTTCTACGCACACATCATTGGCGTCCAATAGGGGAGGAATACCAAGCTTCTCATCTGCAACAGTGAAGGCATTCTGCAAATTTTGCAAAGGCGTTGCTTTGGTTAGCTTTTGATATTCGATTAGGTCGGGGCGGTGCTTATGAATGAGGGCGTTGAATGCGAGGCCATCGCGCCAAGAAGTTGAAAAGTTACGAACGTTTACGTTATTGTAGCCTGCAGTCTTCATCTGGCACCACAACAAAAGGGCGTCTTTGGCACATTTAGTCTCGCTTGTCTGGTATTCCTCAACAATAATATCCTGAATCTGAAAACGCAGGATTATAGTCCAAATAAGGCCGAGAGTCAAACGCTGGTTGCCGTCGACAATATCATGGGCACCGACATTTTCCAAGTGGACATGTTGGTCACAGAGAAAGTTGAGGGATTTATCAACATTTTCTAGACAGTGAATCCGCATCTTGCCTCGAGTAGGCTTAGGAAGACGCTCTCCAGAAAGAATTTCAAGCAATCTGAGTAGGTGCTTGCCATCACGGAGATCAAGGTAGAGGTCTTCAACGCGATGGTTAACAACTGCCAAATGGGAATTAACCCACTTTGTGAAAGTCTTCTTCTGAACAATCTCGCGTTCGTCTAAAGGGTATAGAAGAATCCATACAGAAACTTACCGGCAAGGGCCTTGATACGAGAGCGTTCATAGAGCTTTGCTGTACTATTGCCGCTTTCAAAATCATCGTCATCCGAAATGTAGTTGTTTGGTTGGGCTACTGAACTAGGTTCCCAATGCAGATTTTGATGCAACGCTTGTATCTCCATGTCTAGACAATCGAACATGGCAAAAAGCAGGCGTTAGTTTGGACCATGCAGAAAACAACTTTAACGTAGGTAATACAATTCTTTTAGTGCTTTTGCAATGACCATACAATCACCTATGAATCGACCGGATATGAATAAAAAATATAGCAAATCAGGGTTTCGAAAAGTGAGATGCTTACATGACAGAGCACCTGACCACATTTTTACATTAAATGACCAGTTAATTATGTAAGCAAATAAGAAGCACATCAAATTAAAGTGGGATGCTAGCATTATTTATATGTAGCTTTATAAGAACAGGAGTAAACGTTTAGATAACCTGAACGTTTAAAGAATAGAACTTATAATACCACTACATTAATCATATCTATTCTATAAACGCTTAAAAACTAAAAGGTAGGATACCGTAGGGTAAAATAATTTAGGAAAATACCTACAGTGCGTGTAGAAGGCCTTTCAACATCAAAGGGTTAAGCTGTGAATGATTAACTGTTGAGACGTGTGCAAAATTGTCCCTTATAAAAGTGCCAATACAAAATTTTATAAAAGAGATAGATTAACAAGCATATCTAGAAGCGACAGTTTTCTACAATAGCAGTGAGCTATAGCGAAAAATGTGTTTATATTGAGGCACTCCAAAGAACATGCAAGAAAAAAATGAGCCCTAGCCAAACATTCGATTTTTATGATACCATTTATAAAACCACAGAGCGGGAAGTACTGCACATCCATAATGCACACACCACAACGCACCTTGCACAGGCAGGACCCCGAATGGAGCAGGGCAGCCGCTTTACACGATCTGGTGTCCATTAGGGCCTTTAGCGTAGATAAACAAAACCCACCTACAATTTTAAAAATAATAATATGCACATGTAAAATATATGTTTTTTTCATTTAAGCAGTTCAATGTTGTGCATAAACGCATTTATTTTTATTCATTTGCAAGCAAGACAATTAAATCGTTATAATTGTAAAGTTGCATTATTTCACAAAGACTTAAAAGAAATTGTTCATCAAAAAATGAGTTGCAAACACCATTGATGTTTTTCTGTAGGAATCTGGGTCTTGAATTGTGGCACCTGCAATCTAAGTAATATTTTAGAAATATTTGTTTAATTTGTTTTGTACACCTTACTTTTAAATTCCTAAGCAATATTGCAAACACCACTGATAATTAGAAGACTCACTTTTATTTTTGTCTACCAAAATTCACAATAAAGACTACAATAGCATTACTAAGGTATCAAACTATAAATTATATTTGGCATTCAAAAGGCAGCACAAAAGGTAGTGAATAATTGAACGACGAACAATTTGTCTATAATAACATGCTTAAAATGCATTCTTTAATCTAATTGGGGTTTAATCTGATTCTAGTTCCTAGAGTACGTTTGAATTGGAAATGCTATCCATGATTGCATGCACTCATGCATCCATACCTGATCTGCCACTATAATACCTTAGGGGAACTACTTGCATATGGGTGTCGATCGGTGACGGCACGACACCCATTTTGACACACGTCTCTAGGTCGCATTTCCACATTGGTCTTTGTTAGCAATAGTATTACATTAACTAGATGGTGGCCTTGCATGTATACATCATATTTTATTAACAAATGCGTATTTATTGCCAATGTAGAGCCAAAATTTCCATTTTGTCGATTGTCCTCGCTTGTCTATGAGGCTTTATAGAACTCCGAACATTCGACAATGATTAGTTTCCGATTTAAGATGCTTGCGACATCCAGATACAGGAAAATGTAGTTTTTTTGAACACACTACTTAAACCAAACCATCATAGGTTGCAAATCAATGGTTCTCCTTAAAGACACATTTTATACACATTTTTAATTTCTACCTTTGTCTTGCATGTTTGCAACCGTTTAGATCACCCAAAGGCAAAAATTAAAGCTGTCTAGATATTTAACTTTGCTCTAAACAATAAGCACGCATTGGATCAGTGAGATTTACTAGTAAAAAAAAGTCGGCACTGTCAAAATAAAGTCTGATTTCCAAGGAATGTGATGGCGTAATGGTGTCAGGCCATAAAAATCTCAGAATACAGCTCATTTGTTGCAAGCTTTTTTAGTGCAAACGCACAAGCAAGGCCATCAAGAAAATCATTTAATTTACGACAGCGCCGCTTCCTTCATAAACAATTTTATGCACCGAAATTTCATTGGTGACAATCAAAAATAAAATAAAATTTCTGATGTTTAGATATAAGTGCCTAATAGCAGATCATTGCTAAAATGTGCAATTTTTAAATGGCTTAATGAATGGTCCAATATAATGCGGTGTAATTTTGCGATAGCCAAGTGGAACTGAACAACGTAAGTAAAAATTTAAAAGGGTTATTTTTTGCAAGTACAATACCGAACTGTCTAAAAAGCATAATGCAGGTCAATTAGAGCACGAAAAATAAAAAGAGGTTTAGGTTCCATCAGCCCAAAATCCATTGTTTTCACTGCACATTCAGAATGAAATTAGCAGCATTATTCAACTATGTTAGTACACTTGAAAAATCGCCGTTCGCATTTCTTACTAGCAAGAAAATCTCGGTATTTTTTGACAGTAGAACCTGGCTTTCTTCGGTGTGTGATTCTACAAAATAAATAACTAGATACGACATGGCATTAAATATATCCCTTCAAGCATGCATCACCTGCAGGACCTAATTCGTGCCCTTTATTTCTAAATCTGATTTCATATTTCTAAATTTTGAAACGTGTTTCTTAATAAGTGCTGTAGCGGTCGTTATATAACATACTCATTCGTCTTTGTGAGTATCTTCGATTTGGACTTACATCCATCCGCTTCTTTGGATAACCTGCACGAAAATCATTATTGCTTCCGAAATTAGTGATTTGTTGCTGCTAATTTCAAGAAAGCACCAACTAAACTACATTCAGATCGTTTCAGTCACGTGGTCCATTCACTTACGGAGACATCGCTGGGTTAATGATGCTATCTTTAAAGACTGGGACTTTGATTAACTTTTCGAGTAGTGTTTGCAAGGACCTCATTTCTGTATGTATCTATTGCATGGCCTTTGATATCCCAGTTTTTTATCGATTACCACACTGTATTTTGCCACAGAAATCACAAGTCTGTCTGCTCTAATATTCTTCGTTTATATCATATTTGCAGGTCAGCATTTGTTACGTTTGCCCGTAACAATAGAGAATACCACTCAAATAACGGTACCAGATCCCTTGCTGTAAGCTAGAG